AAAAAAGGGGGTGTCCTTTAAGGTTGCGATGTGATACCATGTTTGTGATAGTCGTTAGCCTGCTTCAGATTCTGTGTCTTCCTCTCTCTCTCTGTCCCTCCTCTGCTCAAGCTCTCTCTCAAAAATAAATACACATTAAAAAAATTAAGTGATAGTCACTAGACTGTAGCCTGTGGTCTTGGGGAAGAAATAGAATTATTCCTCCTGGACCAGTCTCTTCCTCAGGATTTTAGTGTTCAGATGCTGATATTATATGGCCTCGTGTACAGAAAGGGCCTGCCACGGTACAGGGTCAGGTGCGCAGAAGACAAAAAATTCTGGTTTCTCCTCTTCTTCCCTCCTCCCCACTCTGCCTTGAAATGAACCATGGTCTATGGCTATGGAATTCCTAGCAGATGAGTGAAGAGTTGCCAAAGAGAAAGTATAGCAAACAACCACCCCTAATTGAAAATGCATTCAATGGTTGACTAAACTTTTGAGGCTGGCCATATTTCACACTCCATTCTAGAGTTGTAATGCCCCATGAAAGGTCCCCTGAGCTGGAGGTTTACAGATTTCATCGTTTAAACAAAAGACTCTAAAGAAAAACAGCTCCAGATCCAAAGATGCCACATCAGGTGAGGATTTTGATGGCCGCACAGCTGTTGTTTTGTAGGCAGGGAAGCAAGGAGAGTGGTAGGAGACAACACAGCCACCTGATTAGAAAAGATGCAACTAACTGTTCTCTTTTTCTTGAGGGTCTTGACTCAGACAAAACTAAAAATAAAGTAAAAGTTTTGGGTCTCTTGTAACATCCCTGCCCATTTAAGTCTCTGGGAACAAACATGCTCTCACTGCATGGAGAACAGGTAATCCAAAAGGAAGGGGAGGAACTTACCGGAATAAAGACACACTTTTTTTTGAGGAGGGGCTCAAGGGAGCAAGGGGGAAGAGAGAGAGAGAGAGAGAGAGAGAGGAGAGAACTGGGGGCTCACCCAGTGCACCAGCTCATCCAAAGCAGGGCGGGAGCTAACCTGATGTGGGACTTGAACTCACGAACTGTTAAAATCATGACCTGAGCCAAAGTCAGATACTTAACCGACAGAGCCACCCAGGCGCCCAAAGACAAACTTTTCAAACAAGCTTGAGATCATATAAAAGTTTAATAATGGACGAAAACATCTAAAACTCAATTCCACTTACAACTGAGGTCAGATTGGAACCCTCCCTGCTTTCCATATTTTTAGGTCCCCTCCCTGCTTCCCAGCAATCCCACTCTGCAGCCTCACTGCCTGATCCAGCCACACCTGTCTCAGTCAGCAGAGCAGAGGGGCAGGGTGAAGCGATGTGGAGCCACGGGGCTAGGTGACCCAGGCACAAAGGTCCCAGATTACTCTACTCCAGTCCAGGAGAGACTTGGAGTAGACCTTATCACTCCCCTAGAGGACCCATGTTCTCTGAAGTTCTTCCAGACTTTATACAGAAGCAAGTTTTAATACATGTGAAGGCCTCCTCTCATGATGGATTAAGGATTCCATTTAAATGGGGCAACGAGCTCTCCTTTGGGACTGGGAAAGTCTAGAAATGTTCATAAGAGAAAACGGCCCTCAGTCTCTTCAGTCTGGGGTCTGTCCCATCCACAGGCTGGTGGCCCACATTGCAAAACTTTGCAATCCCTGTAAAAAGGTGAAATAAAAGAGATGCACGGTACACGTGGGAAACAGCCACAAAATGATCTGTTTTGGCAAGTAAAGTAGTGAAGCTCAGCAACCACAGTCACTAAGGCTCAGGCGCAAGGCTCTGTCCACATCAGAAAGCAGAAGAAAACCAGGACTGTGACCGAGGGGTAAGCCTGGAATTCCACAGAGAGAAGGGCTCTGAAGACAAAGTAAGGCACTTGACATCATACCGGGGCGGCTCTTGCCAGTCACAGGTGCTAAAAGGAGGTCTGGCCAGAATGTGGGCTCATTTCTTCTAGCCCAACCGAGCAGGCCAATCATCGCCCACGTCAGCGAGCAAGCCCCTCTGGGAGGTGTGCCCCCCCCCCCCCTGCAGAGCGCTGTGCAACCACACATACCGCCCAGCAGTTGTACCAGACATGTGCAAACGGCCACAGCAACGTGCCAGGGTGGTGGAAATAAACCTCTAGGACCAGATTATTCAAATGGATTTTTAAGTAAGTGGAGTTATTTCATGGCAAATCGATATCGTAAACAAGGAAACAATTCAATGTTTTCTAGGAGAAAATAATGTACTAAGTAATATATTACACAGTTAAGTTATATGGAAAAGCATGGTGTTCTCTGTCACCTTGATTCAACCAGCAGTACAATCAAAAATATATCTCTGTATATTCAACCCAACACAGAGTTTGACCTGAACAGTCTTATTGCTTTATGTTAACAATCCTAAGATTCCGTTTGAGTGTTTCTATTACGTGATAAAATGTTATGTTAGACAATTTAAACAATTTATTTTGCTTGCTAGACTTACCAGAATGTTCAATATGCTAATGTGCTTTGTGAATTCCCAAAAGGGGGATAAAGTATACAATAGTTAAAAACCGTTTTGATCACAGAAACTCAGGTCAGGGTATTTTGCTGGACCAGAGAGCTGGAGAACACAACTCTAGGAAAGATTGCTCGAAGAAATTCTGTACTTCTCTAAAACATATGAAAACCACTACACACCCCTTGAGAAACTAGAGTATAAACCTTGTGAAGTATTAGCTTGTGAAATTGAAAACCATGCATCAGATTACCCACCTATCAGGGTGTATACATTAAGGAGTTAAATGACTGACTGACAATACCTACATGTCATTCACATTAATCAATGAAGATGGACTAAGATCGGTTACATGAGCAAACAAAACAAGGTCTTTAGCTACAGTGTAAATCCACTGCTTTCCCCAAAGCAAACATGCCTTAAGTCAGAGCCCCATGCAAGTGAGTGCATGCTCAGTACTAGAGAACTCTGCCAAAAATAACTTATACTAGGTGCTTTACTATGGAAATAAAACACAAAACTCTTCCCCCAGCCAAGAGTTCCATTAGAAAATGATAAATTCAGCCTCGGCACAGATACAAATGCTCGCCCTTTGTGCTCCCGGCCAACTTTCCTGCTCCGAGTTTCTTTGGTGCTATGCCCACTGCAGACCAAGGAGGTAGGAAGGAAGGGCCTGTCACTCGGACAGACGTGGCCAAGAGGCCTTCTGCAACTTGTCCGGAGCACAGGACCTGGTGAGCCTGTGGCTTGCTGTGTGAATGAGGTGTTCAAATCAGGGCGCAGAGTGAGCCCCTCCTCATACAGCGCTCACTGATTACCCAGGCTGGCTGTGATCTGTGCCCTGTGCACCCTTGAGCTGGTCTCTGCTGCCCCCCTTTCCTTGCCAGTGGGTAAACCAATGCCAGATGGTAAGTGCTGGAAATCAGAGCTATGAGGATCCAAGTCATGTCTCTAGCTTTACTGGTTTCCTGCTCCAGGAAAAGGACTTCTGGGAGAGGATGAGAGTGTAGAAGAAACAAGCAGAGGAATGATCTGTAGCTTTCAAACCGTCTGTCGCCTCCCAAGGGCCCAGATAATAAAGACATAAAGAGTCTGCTGCAAACTGTTTTACAGACGACAGAACAAAACTGGGCTATGTAAGGGTGTTTTGAAGCAGAAAACCAATGCTCTCAATGTCTTCTTATAGCATAGTATATTTTCGTATAAATAAAAGCAACATGACAGATGGTGACTGCACTTACCCTAGTGAGCACTGAGTAATCTATAGAACTGTAAAATCATTATGTTGTACACCTGAAACATTTATATGTTAATACAACATTTATTTAACATTTATATGTTAATTACACTTCAATTAAAAAAGCTTAAGAAACCAATGCATAGATATAAATACATATATCTTTGTATATGCACGTATGTATATGTGCATATATAATACAAGTAGTCTGGAAGACTATACATCAAAGTGTCAACAGAGCTATGCTTTAATGTATGTCACTTACACTCAATAAAGCTGCTTAAAGTTTTTAAAAATTTTTTTAATGTTTATTTATTCTTGAGAGAGAGCATGAGTGGGGTTGGGGCAGAGAGAGAGGGAGACACAGAATCTGAAGCAGGTTTCAGGCTCTGAGCTATCAGCACAGAGCCCAATGTGGGGCTCCAACCCACAAACCGCAAGATCATGACGTGAGCTGAAGTCAGATGCTTAGCCAACTGAGCCACCCAGGCACCCCAAAGCTGCTTAAAGTCAATGCTGATAGTGGTTATCTCTTACTCATGAAAGATTATAGGCAATTATTATTTTTTTTTCCTGCTGGTCTGTATTTTCTAAACCTTCTTAACTTTAGATGCATTACTTTAGCACCAAAAAATATCAAAAAGTTATTTTCAAATACCTTTCACAATTCATTCAACTTTTTTGATGTTTGTCTCCTGAGTTGCACGTTATAAAGTGTTTCCATGTATTTAATCCACAAAACAGCAGAAGGAAATAAGATTATTGTTTCAGAGAGAAGGAAACAGGCTCTGAGATAGTTCCAGAACTCGTCCAAAGTCAAAGAGCTAGAAATTAGCAGAACCAAAATCGGAACTCAGATCTCCTCTTCCTAGTTCTATCACTTCTGCCTTCCTTTTCTCACTATTTGCTGCCTCCTATGGTCTAAGCATGTTCCCCTGGCTGCATAAATCCTCCAGCAATATACTTTGTATATAACCAAAGCAGTAGAGCTATTATATAAGATTTAAGCAAAAAGCAACTACTTCATGTTCAAACTCAGTGTTGGTTAAGGGGAGAGAGGCGAAAACCCAAGGGGGGGTTGGAGACCAATGAAGTACCATCAAAGCAATAGTAAACCTCTCCCTCCTAGCTGCTACATCGCACTCTTGGCTTCATTTCAACCCTCTTAAGAAAGGGAAGAGGAAACTTGACCAAGATGAGAGCAAAACACTCAGGGAGATAAAGCAAACAAGGAAACGAGGCTAGAGGTATTTAGACATTGCTGGATTGGAGGTACCTTCATTCCCGCTGCCGCCGCAGGGCCACTGGGGTCCACGGCCTGAATGTGGCATGGCTTACTCCCTCGGACCACAAAGCCCCAACCAACGGCGTCACCGACAATCTGGAGAGGAAAACCACAATTAGCAATCTAGGAGATGGTCCCTGGCAATTTGCCTGTTTTCAAAAGAAAGAAAACCAGTCCAGGATTAAGTATACACCCTGGCACATCTCTTCCCCACTCCATCTGTATCTTCTCAGGAGAACAGAACACTGCTTCTATCACAAACACAGGCGCATCTATGCAGAAAAGGTGGCCAAGGGACACCTGTTAGGCAGAAAGAAGCTTCCTCTGTGAGGGCACTACTCAGCAAATAACTGGCCGAATGCCTCTTTCTTAGGCTGCTATGCAAATTAATATCAGGCTCAAATGGAAACAAGACTATGAAAACATGGCTGAAATTTCTCTCCAGACACAATTTCTCTTCCAAGTTTACTCTTTTCCCCAAGGCCCAAAAAGATACTTTCTTGATGATCTTGCTACATCCTTCAAGTCCAAAGAAACAATTTATATTACTAACAGGGGGAAATAGGAAGCTCTTAGCTGTCTTGAAACACAATCTCTACCAAGAAAAGAAAGTGAATAAGTACATAAAGTTCACAATTTACAAAGAGGTGCTAGCCCAAAAGCTGTTTGAAACTGGAGGGTGCCTTTCCCTACAGAATCTTTAGAATTGGCAGTTACATTCCCTGCGCAGGTCCAAGAAAGGTCTTTAATATGTACCCCCACTGAAATACAAATGAAACACATTCATAATCACTAGCAATGCTGGCATTTAAATTTAAGACAAAAAAAAAAATACTTAAAATTAGAATCAACTATTTCTCGATTGCTGGAGACTGAGGACAAGGCAGGGAAGCAAATGCAATTTTCTAAAGTGTTTATTTATTTTGAGAGAGAGAGAGAGGGAGAGAGGGAGAGCATGAGTTGGGGAGGGACAGAGAGAGAAGGAGACAGAGAATCCCAAGCAGGATCCTGATGAGGAGCTCAATCTCACCAACTGTGAGATCATGACCTGAGCCGAAATCAAGAGTCCACTGCTTAACCAACTGAGCCATTCAGGTGTCCCAGCAAATGCAATTTTTGTAAACATTCTCAAAAAGATGTTTAGGCCCTTCACTGGCTTTAGGGTTTACTGGTATTAGTTCATTCTACCTGGTCTCACTTCCAAAGGTATAGTTCACTTTTTCCCCTGGTACAGACATATTTCTGGAGCTTTTTTCACACTGACTGGGCCCATCCTATCTAAACTCCTCAGTGCCCAGAACATGAAGGAGTCCTTGACAAATGTTTGCAGCCTGAACAGGTGTGGAAAGATTTTTTTTTTTTTTTTTTTTTTTTTGTCCCTGAGGTAATAAAACAGAAGCTAGAAGGCTGGAGGAAGAGGAGACATGTTTTAAAGAGGATGTTGATGTGGTTTTGTGTAGAGACTGATAGAAAGAGGCTGGAGAAGGAGAGAGGGTGAGGTGCTGTCAAGCAGAGCACTCAGATTCTGTCTGAAGAAAGCCACTGGGGCTGGTAGTTGTAGAAAGAAGGCTGGAGAACCTCCAAGAAGCAGCAGGTGGCCAAGAGGTGCTCACCAGCACACGGTGCTCCCAAATCCTGTGAGGGTATAACTTCGCATTGTCAGAGGCAACATTCCTCGTGGTAGAACGAATCATCCCCTGGTTTTCTTTTTCCCCTAAAGACTCTTCTAATATCTAAAATGATTGTTAGGATTAACTGTAACACAGAAGGAATCATCGGCAATATTTGCACCAGCATTTGCCTTCAAGTCTGTAATTATATTAGACTAAGTAATGGAAATTTTTTTCTTAAGGCCTCATCAAAGGAGTTGAAAATGCTGTATTTATCAAAAATCATGTCAAGTCCTAATGCATTTTAGTGCCTAAGGGTCAAGAAAATCCACCCTTATGGTTATATCCCCGAACAAAAGGAAAACTAGAAGGTTTTCAGTTCTATCCCTCAGCTACACATTGAGACACTGGCATGTTGACATGACACAGAAAACGAGCAGGGGAAAAACCCAAATGGTGAGCCTACCGTGAATGTCTTCCTTGCATATGGAGCTCCGGGAGTGAGGAGTTCCTCCGAAGTGACGGGTCTCTTCAACACTGTAAGACAGACACGAGGTCAAGGTGCAAACCCTTCTGGCCCCTTGATCATTCATTCAGCAGAAATTCACTGATTGCCTCTCATAAGACCATCAGCGAGCACATGTGGCAAAGATCGCTGCCTCACAGTTTATATTCCAGCTGAATACAGTCAAAATATTAGCAAACATGAATAACCCTAAGCCTAACTTACAGAGCCATGGAAAGAAACGACACAGGGTGAAGGGAAGCCAGATGCCAGTGGATGCCAGTGGTGGGGATAAGGAGAGGGTTGATATTTTTCTCTAAAGAAAAAGTTTTCAGACATGCACAGCCATTGTGCATGACAGTTTGGAAGTTTTTATCAAAGTTAAATAAATCTCACCTTAGAATCCAAAAACAAACAAGAAGAAGAAAAGAAAAAGTTTTCAGGATGCCCAAGTGCTTCAGTTGGTTGAGCGACCAACTTCAGCTCAGGTCATGATCTCATGGTTCATGAGTTCGAGCCCCACATCGGGCTTACTGCTGTCAGCACAGAGTCCATTTGGGTTCCTCAGTCCCCCTTCCTCTGCCCCTCCCCCACTTGCTTGTGCTCTTTCTCTCTCAAAAAGAAATAATTTTTTTAAAAAAAGAAAGAAAAAAGAAAGGGTTTTCTAGTTCTCGTAGTTTTTTCTTCAGAATCCTGATACATATTCTCAGGTCAAAGTTAAGAGAAAAACCTGACTCTAGCAGTGTGATAACCATGTTTCAAAAGCTAACATACTGCACACGTCCCACTCACCCAAGCCTCACTTACTTCCTTATCAATATCCCAGGCTGCATGCACACATTCACTGCCGTTCTCCCTGAGCAGTAATACTAGAGAAATGTTCTGTGTACGCAGCATGTGCTAGGCACTCTGCTAGATACTCCGAATATATCCTCTCATTTAATCGTCATGAGTACTATTTAGTTAGGCTCCTCGTTGTCCCTATTTTCTTAGTGGGAAAACATACATTTAGAAAAGTTGAATAGCTTTGGGTTGCTTGGGTGGCTCAGTGAGTTAAGCATCTGACTGACCCTTGATTTTGGCTCAGGTCATGATCACACAGTTCATGAGATGGGGCCCTGCATCGGGCTCCACACTGATAGCCCAGAGCCTACTTGGGATTCTGTCTCTCTCTCTCACTGCCCCTCCCCTACTTGTGTGCTCTCTCTCTTACAGAAATAAATAAATTTTTAAAAATGTTTAAAAGAAAAGAGAGAAAAGTTCAATAGCTTTGTTCAAGGTCTCAACCTAATAAGCAGCAGAATCAGGATTCAAACTCGGGCATTTGATGCCAGCACCCATCAGCCACGGTACTCCATGGTTCCTCCCGTGCTACGCCCTCTCTATAAGCAGAAGAAAGGACTCAGCATCCTTGGAAGGTAGTAATGTGTTGGCCTCCTCAGATATCTCTTCTTATCAGCTCGCTGCTGTTGCCTACAAGACAGCAAAGATGGCAGCCATTTCTTGACTTGCCAGCTACCTAAAAACCTGCCCATATGGTAGCCCCTCCTTACCTGTGGGGATACGTTCCAAGGCCCCCAGTGGGTGCCTGAAACCACGGGACAGTACTGAACCCTACACACACTACATTTTTTCCTATACATACATACCTATGATGATAAAGCCTCATTTATAAATTAGTCACAGTAAGAGATCAGCACCAATAACCAGTAAAAAAAATAGAACGATTATAATAATACACTGTAATAAAAGTCATGTGAAGTAGTCTCTCTCTCTCTCTCAAAATACCTCATTGTCCTGTACTCACTGTTCCTGTGATGAAGTGAGGTGATAAAATGCCTATGTGATGAGACAAAGTGAGGCAAGTGACAGAGCCTAAGGCCACTATTGACCTTCTGACACTATATTAGAAGGAGGATCATCTGCTTCCAGGTTGTGGTTGACTTGGGTAAGTGATCCCACAGAAAGGGAATAGGGAGACCATTCCCTTGAACTTCATCCATCCATCCTGTGCTCACTAAGCACTGGAGAGGGGACTGCTACAGCAGTCCAGAGAAGCCAGAAAATGGGAAGCCAGGGACATCCTAACCCAGTTATTCAGAAATCATGAACTTGGGGGTCACAAAGAAACTGGAGGGGCCATGGCCAGGCCCCTAACCCGGCAAAGTGTGAGCCTCCAATTCCCTTTGCTGGCAGCATTCAGGGGTCAGATGCCAGTCCTGGAGCACGTGTGCAGTAGAAAGAGAAAAGGCAGCGTCTAGGGCGAGACCTAGATGACCCACCAGGTAGCTTGGCCCTAACAAACACCCTCTCAGTTAAAGGCAGTGAAGGGCTTCTTGTTTAGATGACTTGACCAGGATGATTACTTTTACTTTCAGGAAGCTCATAAGAGAGAAAATGAATTTATGTTCCTCCCCAAAAAAAGAGAGTACATCAAATATCAAGAGAAGGAGCTCTCAGATGAACAGGATGTAAGAGAAGAGAGCCATGGATGAGGACTGAGACCTCCCAATTCCCTGTCCCACATCTACCCCCCATAATCCTGTCTGGATATATGAATTTGGATATAGAAATCACACATACTGTAATATTTGACAGTCTGACCACTTATTTTAATACACATTCTCTTTCTTGTTACTGACGTATAATGACATATAAAATTACATTAGTTTCAGGTTATAACATAATGACTCAATATATGCATATGTTTTGTGCAGTGGTCACCACAATAAGTCTAGTTAACATCCCTCACTTCACCTAGTTACGACTTTCTTTTCTTGTGATGAAAACTTCTAAGATTCATTTTCTTAGCAACTTTCAAATACACAATACAGTATGATTAACTATAGTGACCATGCTGTATATTATTTATAAATAAGTCCCAGGACTTATTTATTTTGAGAGAAAGAAAGAGAGAGAGAGAGTGAGAGCAGAGGAAGGGCAGAGAGAGAGAATCCCAAACAGGCTCTGCAAGGTTAGCACAGAGCCTGATGTGGGTCTCAAGCTCACAAGCCCCCCCAGATCATGACCTGAGCTGAGATCCAGAGTCTGAGGTTTAACTGGGGCGCCTGGGTGGCTTAGTCGGTTAAGCGTCCGACTTTCACTTGGGTCATGATCTTGCGGTTCGTGGGTTCGAGCCCCGCATCGGGCTCTGTGCTGACTGCCAGCTCAGAGCCTGGAGCCTGTTTCAGTCTGTGACTCCCTCTCTCTCTGACCCTCCCCTGCTCACGCTGTCTCTCTCTCTCTCTCCTAGAAATAAATAAAAAATATTAAAAAAAAAAAAAAAAGAGTCTGAGGTTTAACCGACTGAGCCACTCAGGCACCCCAGGACTTATTTATTTTAAAACTGGAAGTTTGTACCATTTGACCACCTTCACCCAAACTCTGGCAACAACCAATCTGTTCTCTATATATATGAATTCATTTTTTTCTTTTTAGATTCTACACATCAGTGAGACCACCCATTTGCCTTTCTGTTTGACTCATTTCACATAGCATAATGCTCTCAAAATCCATCCATGTTGTTGCAAATAGCAGGATTTCCTTCTCTTTATGGCTGAGTAATATTCCATTGTGTATAATTACACCTCATCTTCTTTATGCATTCATCGATCAATGGACCCTTAGTTTGTTTCCATGTCTTGGCTATTGTAAATAAATGCTGCAATGAACATGGGGTGCAGGTAATATTTCTAGTTAGTAATTTCCTTCCATTTGGATAAATACCCAGAAGTGGAATTGCTAGATCACATGGTAGTTCTATTTTTGATTTTTTGAGGAACCCCCATAAGGTTTCCCATAGTGGCTGCACCAGTTTGCATTCCCAGCAACAATGCATGAGGGTCCCTCTTCCTCAACACCATTGCCAGTACTTGTTATTTTTTGTCTTTTTGATAACAGCCATTCTAACAGGTGTGAGATGATAGTTCATCATGGTTTTGACTCACACTGTACTGTAATATTTGCCCACCATACCAATAAAATAAAATAAATTATACATAAAAATATTTACTTTAATACACATTCTCTTTCTTCTGTTTGAAGAGATAGAAGCCTTGAAGCCCAGGGATTTATGTTTTAGCTTTCTCTTTCTGAATCCTTGGGAAGTTATTTACTCATCACAAGGACACCAAGCATGGTAATATCTGTACTTCTTTTTTTTTTTTTTTTGGTCTGGCTTAGGGCATTTATACACAGTACTAAAATATATATATCTAGATGTAAATACAATGATTAATTCATTTATTTAATAATTTATTTAGACCTCTGAAGGTCTGTTTATTTGTTTGAGGAAAAAGAAATCACACATGAACTCACTGCACCTTGGGAACCCTCTTAAGAGTGAGGGAGAAGCTTGTCAGAATATGGGTAAGAGGTAGGACTTACAAACCACAATTAGGACAATAGAGACAACCACAATGGAGACCCAAAAAAGGCAACCTGACCTTTCTTGGCTGCCTGCTTATCAGTAAATGGTTCCCTCTGAGACAAGGCATAAGGAGAAAGAGGAAACAATACAAACCCACCTCTCGGAATGTAGATGTGTAGTTCATTTAAGTAACTACCACTCTGTTCTCATTCTACTATTGTATGCAGTGGGAAGCATGCAAAATGGCTTTAGCATAGCTGACCCTTTCCGGAAACTGAACTCTTTTGCTTCTAACTTTAGATACACCTGTCAGATTTTGATCTTTGTTCCAAGAATATAGCTCTCCTTTCTCATTCTACCTTATCACCAGTGTTCTATTAATTAAAAAACCTGGTAGCATATGGGGGTTCAATGATTTTCCAGCCAGAGTCAGTGTGGGAGTAAGTTTCTTCATTCATTTGCTGCAGTTTACGACTCTAGTCTTACAGCTAATCATCCAGAAGGTAGCAAAAAAAAAAAAAGATAGAGTAAAATACCCTCTTGCTTAGATAATGGCATGAGATAATAGAGTTTTCTCTTAAAACCCTTTGAACAACATCTATTTGTCCTTATTCTCACTAATACATGCTTCCCACCTCTCCTCACAAAGAAATGATATGTTCATTGAGGGAAGGAGTCATGACCTTTCATCTTTGAATCCCCAAATCTGGTGATGAGGGAAAAACAGGAGCAAAAGGAATGAATTCCCTTCCCTGAAGGTGATATACTGAACCGAGGGTGAACAGGGCACTAAACAAATGGAGTCAAGGGTGTTTTCAAGGCAATGCTTCTTACCATGATGGACCACGCAATCAAATCCTAGGAAAGAGGTGGGTATGGGACTTTGAGAAGGTGGTAGTATCTGTGAGTTACAGGTTCCCGTGGGCTGAAGAACTGATTGGGTCAAGGAAGAACTGTTTCCAAGCACAAGCTCATCAACAATCTTTGTGCCTAGATTTCTTTTCTCTTCTTCTTCTTCTTTTTTTTTTTTCCAGGATGCAAAAGCCATGGAGGCTGATGAGTAGATTTTGAAACTGCAAGGCATCAGGTGTCATTTCTGGGGATAGCTGGGTTTTGCACAGATCTGTGCTTCTTCCTTGGGGGTTCTGGGGCCCCAAAGACCTTTGCATCTCCTCAAACCTTCTTCAGGACGGAGGAGCTTCTCCCAGCTGCTGGGACTGCGGATACCTTCAACTGTCCTTGGAACGACCTCTGAAGGGAGCTGCCTTGCCCAAGGTCATGCCCTCCTCCCAGGCGCAGCCAACATCTAAAGACTGGTTAACATTAGGGGTTACGAGAGTTGAGTCCCAATTTGGGACAATTCTGAAGGGCCACCCCATCTCCAGAGCTCCCCCTGGGGTCAGTGCAGCCCAATTCTCCCTCTGCCCAAATCTGTGCGCTTCCCTTCCATTCACCGGGACTTGGCCCCATGAGCACGCGGTCACAAGATTCCCACGCACTAGCCTCCCCGACTGAGAATCTGCTTCCCAGGGAACGCAGCCTGCGCGTGTCCCAAGTCCCCCACAGTCACGGCTGCCTTTCGGCCACTCACCGGACTTGGGATTGCAGAGCACAGGAGGGCTGCTGCTGAGGGTGGGGCTGCTGCTGAAGTAGCCACTGCTGCCGCAGCTGCTCATGCTGCTCCTCCGCACAGCAGACACGATCTTGATCTCCTTGCTGGGGCTCACTGTGTGGGCCGGAAACACACACAGTCATGAGGGTGGAGGCCTTGGTTCCCTAGCACACACGGGCTTCCAGCCACCAGACACAGCAGGCGCATCACACGTGCCAGAAAAAGGCACCCTGGCCTTGGCGTCAGAGGAGCAAGAATCTGAGTGGCAGCCTTCCACTCACTAAATAGCATCACCGTGGCCACTTGCCTCAGTTCTCTGGGTCTCAATTTCCCGAGCTGTGAAGTGGGAATAATACAGTCTGATCGGTACGAGGAGTGGGTTATACAATGTACGTGAAAGCACTCAGCCATATAAAACGGTATTTCAAGAATGACCAAGCCCATGCTAGGCAGTCCCTGGAAGGGGGTAAATTAACTGCCAGCTATACACTTACTGGATTAACAGTAATAATAAATGCCTCTTGATCTAATAGCAAGTCATGAATCACCCAGAGCCACGGAAGAGGGAGATTAACACACATTAACACGTATTTCGGCCCTGGCAGTGTATGTGAGGCAGCAGTTTAGTGATCTGATCTGGTTCTGTTTGCCACAGAGCTGGAGTCTCTCAACAGGGAGAGGAGGAGGTGTGTGTTCAAACGAAAGAAGCCATAGAGAGTATCCTCCTTAGTGCCTGGAACATGGAAAGTGCAAAATAATTACCGGCTTTTATGGTGACTGCGGCCACTATATCCTCTTTCTCATCAGTGTCAGTGTTCGGGTCTATTGCGCCCACAAGAAACCGGCAAACCTTAGTGCTGGTAAGAACGTGAACAGTTACTCTGCATTCGCCCTGAGGGAACACGTGATGCGTGCGTGCGTGTGTGTGTGTGTGTGTGTGTGTGTGTGTGTGTTTGCGGGGAGGAGAGAGTGTAACATAAGACTTAGAGTTAACACACAACTTCTATGAGAGCCAGCTCTGTCCACCACTTTCTAATGGTGTGACCTTGGGTAAGCCCTTCCATTGTTCCAAGCCTCAGTTTCTCTACCCACAAAATGGAGATATGAAAAGTGCTTCCTCTTTAGGGTATTGTGAGAATTAATAAAATTCAGGCACATAAGCTTAGCTCAGTGCCAAGGGCACAGAAAGATCTAGATACAGCTGCAAGGACTCTTGCATCTATAAAAATTGCCACCTCCCACAAATGACCACATTTTCAAGACACACATTTTCATTGTGCCTGGAGTTTCAGGTGAAGCCCAGAATTTCCAGACCTTAGGCCAACCAGGTCCTTGAGTCAATGCCAAGTTTTCAGAGGAGTTGAAGATATCCCTTTAAGTACCTCCTCTTCTTCAAATGACACATCAAGTTAACCTTTTCCAGATGAGTGGGGTTATCTTTGTGAATGTCTGTCAGCATCATTTCTGTCAAGGCTCAATGTAAATATCAAACTGTTTGACCTTACATGTAACATCCTAGACTTTAGGAGCTCCTGTGTTTGCTTTTCACAATTTTTCTTTGTTCTGGGTCACCGCTTCATGACAGGTTGACAATCAGCTGTCTTTGATTTGTCTATGCGCTCAGAAGTCTTTATTCACCATTAAAACATAGAGTTTTTCAGTGCTATGATTTTGAAAACTGGGTAATTAATGATATATAAGAATTGTTTATCAATGAAAAGTAAGGTAAAATGAGAGCTGAAGAGGTCTTGTATAATGCAAATACTTAATTTTATAAAACGATCGTCATGACATCTAAGTGGACAGCCCAGGAACACTTTGGTCATGTTGGGTTTCCCCGACCCTACCCCCACCCCATACTTTTTGGTTATGAATAAATAAAAATGTGCTGGAGAAAATAATTTCACAAAGGTGAGATATTATCATACTGTTTCTCAAAAGACAAATGCATGTGACCAGGTACACGGTGAAACGGACATACCGGACATAAAACTAGTAGATTTCCGATTGTCATGGCTCTGCTTCCTCAGGCAGAAGGGGCTGTCGTGAGTCTCCTGGGAAGAGGGGGACTTCTCATTGAGCAGCTCCATGAGTCTGCGCCTCCGCCGGAAGTTCATTCTGAACTGGTAGAGAAGGTTGCTGTCCACAAATGGGTGCTTGTTGGACACTGAAGAGGAGAAACAACAGAGCATGACTGGCATCCTGGCCCCTGAGCCCTGCAGCCAGAAGACTCCATCCAATGGGGGCAAAAGTCTTAAGAAAGAGTTTAATTCTACAGATGCTGTATCAGCTTGTAATCCGCACATGGTCCCATGCACTTTAGAAATTTGCTAATCAATTCCTCAGGGGAAGCTTTGCCTTACCTCACCCCTGACCTAAGTCAGACTCTTCTTGGTATTGCTTCAGCCCCTACTGAACCTCCATCTGAGCCCTCCAACTGCACCTGCATTGTTCGTTCACTTCTCTGCCTTTGCCACTCACCTCTAGGCTCTCTGGGGCAGTGATCATGGCTTCATTTAGCCTTGCATCCCCAGTACCCTGCAAAGTGCTAGTCCCATAGCAACATGTCCATTCATTTTTTAACTTTTTATTTTGAAGTAATTATAGACTCAGAGAATTGCAAAAATAATAGAGACTCCATACCCATTTGTTTGTTTGTTTGTTTGTTTTGGCGGTAGGGGGGAGCACATCTCTTTCTCCCAACTAAGTCACTCTGCTTAAGGGCCCAGACTGTGTCTTAATCATTCTGGCATTTGAAATCCTAGACTACCATGTGCTTGGCTCAGAGTAGGTACTCCATAAAAGTCTGGCAGTGAATAGTCTGTGACGGGTAGAGAAGCAGCTTATCCAGAACACACCTAACATTAACCTGTTTAGTGGCTAGTCTATACCACTTCCCCCTGTACCAATCTGTGGGCTCATGGGATGACCCTCCTGGGTCAGCAAATGCAGTCCCGGGTAGTAGCTATCTTTATCATGCCCATTTGCTATGAGTAATTCTTCTGGTTACATGAATATCAGAGTCTCAGAAAGGTGGGTTCCTATTAAGAGAGTCCACTGCCAACATTTAACTTAATGATTCATATGGGTGTTTCACACTTTTTAAATGGTGATAAACTAGTCACTTTGGCTAAGTGTATGGAGTTGGCCACAAAGACAAATATACTTAATTCAGTGGTAGTTCTGCATGTTCTTAATAAATAAGGCATCCTTGGATTTGGGAGATGCTGAATGCATCCTGGACCAAGAGATAAGCCAATTACACTTTGATATGATATCTACAAAGAGTGGTTCTTTTGTGGTTAGTCAAATTTTTATATACATTTACTACATTCAATAATACTATAATAAAATTTCGGAGCAAGTTATTTATTCCTGCCAAACTTTTCTGAGTTTATTAAGATTTTTTAAATCTTCAAGTTGACTTTGGCAATAGTATCTTAAATTACAACCTGAAAATACACAGTTCTATATACATTTGTTAACATCTACTGTTTTCTCTTTGGACTGTGAATTATACAAAATATTGGCCCTGCTAATAAATAAATCCAGAAAAAAATTCTGAATCCAAACAAATTCCATAATAGCTAAAAGTACTTTAAAAAGAATATTTTAAATGTGTATTTATTTTTGAGAGAGACAGAGAGACAAAGCATGAGTGAGAGAGGTGCAGACAGAGAAGGAGACACAGAATCCAAAGCAGGCTCTAGGATCTGAGCTCTCAGCACAGAGCCTGACGTGGGGCTCAAGCCCACAGACCGTGAGATCATGACCTGAGCTGAAGTTAGACACTTAACAGACTGAGCCACCCAGGCGCCCCTAAAAAGTTTTTAACTGAAGTGGAAATTTGACTATCAATTTAATCGCCTCACCGACCAAGGGATGAAGTCATCCCTGTTCTCCATTCTCTACCTCCCCAGCTCTCAGCTGCTTATGGTTCGGAGGATAAACTGAGCATCTAAAGTAAGATAAAAAAGGTTATATTTAAATAGTCCTTACTCATCATATTCTCTCTCCAACAGTATAAATGACCTTAAACATGACCAGGGAAAACAAAAACTAGATGAGATCATAGACCACACTTGTTTAACATAATGCAAGCAGATTGTAAGAACTCAAACAATTATACCTTTATTATTTCACAACCACTGTTGTTTTTACAGTTACCAGCATGTACTGAGAATATATTGCCATTTGGCTTCTGGGAATTCAATTTTATGATGCACTATATTTAACGCCCCACTTCAATTTTCAAGGACTTATTTGGATTTTAGTGCCTGAGGAGAAGCCACATTGTGAACTGAGGATCTCCATGTGTTCATGCCCCAGCTGTGTGACCGGCGGAGCTGGAGTCCAATTCTCTCAGAATAGAAATGTGACAATTGCATGTGTCACTCGCATTATTTTCAATGAATTATGTTACTTTTAAAAAGGTTATTTTTCTCTCTCTCTCATTAAAAGTTTAATGACATGAACATTGAATACCGTGCATTTGCTTTGTTTGTGAGTGTAGCCTTAGGAGAAAACAGATAATCATAGTTATAAAAGCTTAAAGACCACAGGTAGAAGCCATATTACAGCATCAATCAGTCACACATGGCATCCATTCATTTATCCAACAATGTGAGCACCTACTAAGTGGCGCACACTATCCCAGCCATCCATCTTAGCGTGGCAGCCGGAATGTGATGAGCTCTGCTTATCCTTTCAAGCCCATACTAAAGTCTGCTTCATATAATAACAAAACAAGTACGCTGGGACTTTACTGAACATTTTCTTATGCTGAATAACTTCTAGAAATTAGTAGCATGCAATAAAAAGCAATTGTTCTAGGATCAGATGACCTCAGTGTTGATCCCAGTTCACCAACTTGACTAGCAGAGTGATTTGGGCAATTCACTAAACATTTTAAGTTTGCACAGCTTTGCTGTGAAGAAATGGGATAATTGATGTGAAAAATTCGGAATGTCATCTGAAATCTACTGAAATCTAGTAGTTTAAGTCTTCTTGCTCTTAGACTCATAAAGATTGACTTCAGCCTTTGGGCAATTAAGTTTCTGCACAGAACCTGTTTCTTCTGCCTTTTCTGCCCTTCTTTGAAAGAACACTTCAAATATCTTCCACACATTCTGTCACCTTTTCACTCATGAAAACTATAAAATCTTAACCAGATATCCAGATCTAGATTGGCAACTGTCCCACTGGGAGATGTTTAAATCTCAGAAGAGAAGAAAACAAGAAGTAGGGAATAAATTGACACAGGACATTTTAGGAAGTAACTAGATTAAGAAAGCCATGTGTATAGCCATAAGCTACATATGTAGAGTCTCAAGAAATAAACAATGGCTAAATGACATATAGTTTATATTCCAGAAAGAGAAAAGAGTTGACTCTTTCTACACTTTAACATGACATTCTCTATATTAAATACAAAAACCATTTGCTACATAGGAGGCTTGCTTTTTGCTAAACACAGAAGAAATTACCTAAACTCCGCGGGGAGCGGGGGGCGGGGGGGAAGAATTAAAGGGAAGGAAAGACAATCCATTGGCGGACAGTGATTGGAATCTCTAAATCTGGAGACTGTTCCCATTCTTCACTTAGCAGATCCTGACACTATACAGGACTTTTATTCAGAGTAAATGTGGTGTCATGAACAATTTGATAAATTTCATTCTTTGCTCCTTGAGAATATGAAGCTCTAAACTGGAATAAATAAGAAAGGATATTCAAAGTGGACATTCATTATCTAATATTATTAAGGGAAAAGATGGGATTCAGAGTTAGAGAGGGAAAGGTGAGGACCTGAGGTCTGGGTGGGGAAAGACACTATTTTGGAACAATGCCGGGAGTGTCTGACCACAGCAAACCCCCTCAGGCATAAGGTTGCTCTTAAGAATGTAACAGACACCACCTACTCCCACTCAGGTTCCTCTCAGGAATTTGAAAAAAAGACATAACTAAAAATAAGTAGTAGACTCATTAAAGTATGACCTACAAGGAAGGTATGGCCACAGACCGCCCCTCATACAATGGGAACAAGCCAAACAGGAATGGACAAGGCAGCACCTAGAGTTATCAAGTCATTAAGTGTAGGACCTGTGAAGGAACAAGGGGAAGGGGGTGGCTGACCAGAATCTTCTAAAACAAAGACCCTTGCCTATAGTCACAGGCATTCACTTACAAATGTCCATTCTCTGTAAAGACAGCTTTCATACTATTCTTCCTTTCTGATCTTATACTCAAAGAAACTTTTGCCTGCTGCTCATTATATTTTGTCTCCACCTCTTCATTCTTCAAAGAAGTGAGACCATGAATCCTGGGTATTGAGGTAAAAAAATTACAATTGCAGTTGTAATTGAAAAGTGATAATTATTGACTCATTCAATTTATAATTCCTGGGACTTATGAAGACTTCCCTTTTATACTGGTGGCATTCCCAAGGGACTTGACTTGGCTAGGTATCAAATCAGACATAAAACAGAAGAAACAGTCACAGCCAGAAAGCTGAAGCCATGTAATACCAGAGGATCTAATTGCTTAGGAAAGTGGGGGTTCTAGAGGCACTAGGCTCACAATGTTGTTGATTTTTGATAAAATAGATCCTGATTCACTGCGTCCCTTTACTTTTCAGAAAGCATGAAGGAAATGGCATGTAATCTACCAAAGTAATAAAGTGACATAGTTGAAATATATTCTTCTTTTTGTGGCTAATGTGGCTACATCTTTCTAAGTTATTAGGATGATTTTGTTCAAACACGAGATTTAAAAAAGTGATTATCCGGGCACCTGCTAGGCTCAGTTGGTTAAGTGTCCAATTCTTGATTTTGACTCAAGACTCATGAGTTCAAGCCCTGTATCAGGCTCTGCACTCTTAGCATGAGGCCTGCTGGGGATTTTCTCTCTCTCTCTCTCTCTCTCTCTCTCTCCCTCTCTCTGTCCCTCCTCCACTCATTCTCTTTCTCTCTCTCTCTGATAATAAATACACTTTTTTTTAAAGTGATTATCTACAAGAGGGGAAATTGGCTTCTACTCTACTGACACATATAATCTAAAGATGAATATAAACATTTATCATCTTGAAACCTATAAACTCAGCTGAATATAGAAGACGTTTTAAGCTACTTATCTAGTTGAAGGGCGGAAGGTCCCGTACTTTCATACATC